ATATATTACAGTGGAAATGTTATTTAATTATTCAAAGTGCGAATGTTGTACAACTAAAAGGAATGATGTTAATATAACATTGTATAAGTTATTACCCGCCAATCTATGTAATAAAATAAGTGAATATGATGTATATTGTAGTCAATGCTGTATAACAAGAGACCTTGAAAAGTTTTTTGTTGAAGAACATAAGGATAAGGGATATACAAAGTTTCAATTACAATTGACATTCTTTATGAGATATCAAAAACGATGTCCTGTATGTTTTTACCATACAATTGCAAGAAAGTCATTTGAAAAAGAAATTGATGAGTTCTTCAATAATAAAGATTTGATTAAAAGGTTTGGAGGGACAAGCGCAATTAAACCATATAAAGCATTTGTTAAAAAAATTCGAGGCATGTTTGATGCGATTGATTGGCATTTATTAAGTAAAGATAAAATAAACGAGGTCTTGAATGAATTTAGAATAACTAAATATCATGTATGGTCTTACTACAACACTAAATATCAAGTATGGCTACTAGTTAATTTGTTTTTCTGGGAATATATTTATTCAATAATAGGAAAAGACAATATCAAATATATAGACATTGGCGATATTGATAAATATGTAGATTACATATTTGAAGACATTTTTCCTGACTATAAATGTAACCCATAATTATTAATCATACTATAATAATAACATTTATACCCTTATATGTTATAATTATAATGTCAGTATAGCGTTTTATATATTGAAGATAAAATCCTACAAGGGACACCACGCCCCAAAAAAATATATGATGAAGCTGATGAAACGAAGGAGGGAGTGATGTTGTTGCTGTTCTATTTTTTGTCCGGGAAATGGACAAATCGTTTTTAGACAGTTCGATTTTTTTTTGATGACAAATATTTTTTGCAATATATTTTGCAAAATTTATTTTTTTGAAATGGATGAGGCGAGGAGATTGAGGAAATGACATTTTGGAGGGTAGTTGGTGAAATGAATGAGGCAAGGAGAAAGGAGAAAAGGATGGCGAAAATTTTGGAAAAATGATGATAAAAAACGGATGAGATGGACAGAAAGGAATGTAGAAAAATGATGAAAACGAATAAGGGTAGAAGATGGAAGATGAAAAAAAATGTAGGGTGGGGGGTATGTATGAAGCAATTTATTTGCGGGGCAAGGCCCCCGACTACTGTATTTAGGGTTGGTTTAGGGTTAGTTTAGGGTTGGTTTACGGTTGGTTGCGGGTGGCTTGTCCGGGGTGGGTGCCGGGGTGTCGGGGTGCGAGTTCAAGGGGTCGGGGTGGGGGGTGGGACCGTAGGTGCCAGGATCCGGGGGCTTGGGGTCTCGGGCCGGGGGGGCGGGGGATTGACCCATACCATCTTGGGGGGGGGGGGGGGGTAGCAACACGGAACACGGTACCATATATATATAGAGCTTTTGTATATGCATCCATCCCTGAATTGAGACCTGCTTTTTTCCATGTCTTGAGTGGTCCGATGGCGCATCGAATGAAGTTCCTGTTTCTAGCGCACTTCAAGTGATTGTATATGCCTAACAACGATCTGTTCAGCTGCAGCGGGGGCTTTTTCTGAGCACTGCCCTGCGTGCTGCTGCAGGATATGCAGAGCCTCCTGTTCTTGCAGGATGTGCTCCACGCTAGATTGTATGATGCTGATTTCGAATGGCCTGTTGGCACTTGCTTCCTGAAGGCTAGGTAGATAGGACTTGCAAGGCTGCCCCTGAGATGTTGTGTCTAATCCCGTGCGCAGAATACAGAGCTTGGTTTCTCTCGGCAGCTGATCAGTGCCAGGCTTGTAGGCTATCGAAGCAGATCGCACCAGAGCTGCGGCAGGTGGGCAAAACTTGGCTCAGCACCCTTGAAGAGGCTTCACTTTTGGGCCTGAGGGCTGCTCAACCAGCCGGTGTTTCTGGTTTGCTCGGTTTTCTTTGAGCACGGTAGGCTGCAGGCGACTTTGTTGCTCACGTGACAAGCGCCTTTGTGACATTCAGACATACGGAGGATTTTGTCTTCACAAGGCATGGTCAAACTCTCGCGTTGTTCTCTGCGGGGCCATGCCATGCAGATTTTAGCCTTTGCACCAGCCTATCATGCGCCAGGTTCTCTACGTGAGAATGGCGAATGCGGGTCTGTTTGATGCGCTCGCCGTGTTTTTCAGCGGGGTACTTGGATGTACATAGACGCAGCTGGTCATGGACAGAGAGTTTGTCTCTGAGATAGGGTGAGCCTCATCCTGCTGACCAGGTGAAGCAGAGCAGTCTTGCGCAGCCAATGGTGCCGAAGTGCTGGCGCTCGGGTGTGTAGCTGTGAACTGCCTTGCGTCTGGTCTTGACATTTGCATTCTGGAAAAAAGTTGACATTTGTTGCAGGCAGCTGGTCCATGCCAAGGTTGGCGTCCGGAAGCCAGCGGAGCACCCGGCACAGCACCATGCTGTGGAGGCCGGGGTTCAGTGCGTTCAGTGTGGGTGGCCCACGGCCCAAAATTCCAAAAGTTCAAGCAGTTCAAGCTGCACCGTCAGGTGCTCTTGCTGCATGCAGGGGACCCCAATTTCAGCAGCTTGCTCCCGACGGTGCAGTAACCTTGTTGCCTTTGACCTGCGCGCCTTGCCTTGCGGCGCCAGCAAGTTCGCTTTTGGCAGCAACAAGGATGTTTAGGGGTTCAAGGCACACAACATGGCTAATATAAACAGATAGATGGATGGATAGATCGATAGACGTGATAAACATCGTTGTGACTACAAATGTGTCGAAACTGCAATGTGCATGCAACTATGCATGGATGAATAACAACTTTTGGAACAAAACCAATCGATAGGTACGTGACTGGCTGACGGACTGACTGACTGACGGAGTGACGGAGTGACGGCGTGACACGGACTGACGGACTGACGGACTGACTGACTGACTGACGGACGGACGGACTGACGGACTGACTGACGGACGGACGGACTGACTGAGTGCCGGACTGACTGACTGACTGACTGACTGACTGACTGACTGACTCACTGACTGACTGACTGACTGACTGCCTGACTGACTGACTGACTGACTGACTGACTGCCCGGACTGAAGGCCTGATGGACTGACGGACTGACGGACTGACGGACGGACTGACGGACTGACGGACGGATGGACTGACTGACTGACTGACTGACGGACGGACGGACTGACTGACTGACTGACTGCCTGGACTGACGGCCTGATGGACTGACGGACTGACGGACTGACGGACTGACGGACTGACGGACTGACGGACGGACGGACTGACGGACGGACGGACTGACTGACTGGCTGACTGAATGAATGAATGAATGGATGGATAGATGAATGAATGAATGAATGAATGAATGAAACGAAGGAACAAACAATCAAACGAACGAATGAAACGAAGGAACGAACGAACGAACGAACGCACGAACGAATGAACGAATGAACGAATGAACGAATGAACGAATGAACGAATGAACAAATGAATGAATGAATGAATGAATGAATGACTCAGACGGATGGGTGGATGAGTGAATGGAATCATAGCAGCGGAATGAATGAAATAAGCGGAATGAATGGAATGCATGATTGACATATTGACTGGCAGATGGGTTGCTTAACTTAAGCAATTCATTACTTGACTGATTCCTTAGTACATAAGTAGTTCATGAATGCATTAATTAGTTCGCAATTCAATCAGCCCATTTGTTTTTGAATGACTAAACAAATCCAATGAAACAAACAGTCAATCAATGAACAAGTAACCAAGCGGGACATAGGTATTCAAATAAATCAAGCAGACACGCCAATATGGAACCATTTTTGGCTGACAGCCTGCGACAGTCATGTTGCATCAGTTTGTAGATTGAAATGAGCACACCAGAGCACGTTTGCTTCTATGTAAGCCACAAGTGGAGCCGTCTCCTGACCAATGAGGCGACTTGCCACCCAGCGCCTTTGCGCAACTGGCTGACAAAGGAGAACAACGAGGTGCAATTGGGAAGTGTTGCCAAAAAGACAAAGCAAATTTGGAACACTGCTGGGATGGGATCTGTTCAAGGCCACGACAAGCAGAGTTTCGGGATCTTCGCGTTTTGGAATGCAAATTGCGATTCACCCGGAGAGGCAACCCTGCAAACCCACTGAGGACAACATGCCCTTTATGAAAGCGGCTGATCCATGTTCCTAAATTGCCAGCCTGAGTTGTACGACTGGTTGGTGCGGCGGGCCTGGGCTGGGGGAGTCAGTGGCGTCTTCGGCCCTGTGCAGGATGGCCGGCGGGTCCTGCGAGCCTGGCGGCTGAGATCACACGTGGCGCGCACATTATTCAGTTCTTGTTACATTGTTTGCTTTCTGCTGCTTAGCTTTGGCGTTTGCGTAGACTTGGCTTTGTCCGTGCCTTTGCAGTTTTCTGTGTTGCGTTTTGCCATAAACAAGTTCGTCGTCGTTCGATTTTCCAATTTGTTGGGGGCAGCAAGGGTGTGTAGTGTTTGCGGGTGTACGGGCGCGTGTGTGTGTGGTTGTGTGGTTTGGCTTGGCCTCGCTAGGTCTGAATTGGCTTGGTTTCTGTAAGGCTTTGCCGGTGGTCGCTTCGGCGATGCAGTCCCTTCCCCATGGGCAACTTCACTCAGGTTCTCACGCACATGATGGTGCAAGAGGAGGATCAGGCACGAATGAGAACGCCAATCAATTTTTGCTTCTGGGACGAGCCAGGAGATGTCCGGGCCAACAAAACATGTAATGGCTTGCCACCAGCCTATGTGAGAGGGATTCCCATCGCTTGCGAGTCATGTTGGCTCAAGCGCGCGGACAGGCTTGTGCTTGTATGGGCCTGCGATTGTACCAACTTGTGATTGTGACAGTGCAGGGGGCAGAAACTCGCTCGTTGTCGATCTGTTGCCCTCAACATAAAGCAGCAAGCCCAGAACATCCCGCTTCTTGCACATCTAGCCCCCACCTAGCAGACGTTTGCCAGGGTCACTAGGCCTCAACTGCACCATGGACGTGAAGATTCAGGAGAAGACAGCGCTCGCGCAGCGGCAGTTCATGGAGAAGGCCTCGAAGCTCATCGCAAACATCAGGGGAGAGTGGCAGCTGGTGGAGGTCAACGAAATGATCGCCGCTGAGTATGAAAAACTGTACGGGCGAATCGCAATGCATCCCTTGCTCTCGGTGAAGGGCGGCAAGAAGGAGCCCAGATATTTGATCGACCGCGATGAGACCTGGGTGATCTACAAGCCGCCGCTCTGGCAGATGGCAGGCAGCCCAAACAGTTGGTTGCCGAACGTCAAAAAGCTCGCACTCAGGCTGAACTTGAGTCCCCTTTCGTACAATGACATGTTTTCGTTTTGTTTTTCATGTCGCAATGTTGCCGTGTTGCGTCGACCACATCAGTCATTTTTCTGAGCAGAGGTAAAGCAGAGCCAGAGCCGGGAAGATGCGCGGCAGAAGCTAGTGACGGAGCCTAAGACGTCAGCTTTACAGGAGTGGCATGGTATCATGACCGGCATCAAGTGGATCGTTGATGAAAACCCAGAAGAGCCGCAACGGAAAGGGGTGAAGGACCTGCACAAATCGCTCATGCCTGTTCAACCACTGATCATTGTGTTTTGAACATGACAGCAAGCGAAGCGCTGCCGTGGTACTAACAGAGTACATGTTGCCTTTGAGCCAAACCTTTTTTCCCGTCCTCAAACGATATGATGGGAGAACAGCACGCGCACACGCACACACATCTCTTTAGTGTTCTACCTCTTTCTTTTGTTTACTTTGAGGGGGCCTTGCGGTAGAATGACTTGGCTTTTGAATGGGCGCGACATGACACCGCGAGCGAAGGACTGGGGCTTCTTGCAGCGCTTGGATCTGGAGACCGATGGGCCCGTTCTAGTGGCGAAGAGTTGGCGCGCCCAGAGATTCCTGCAGGTGCAGCTGAAGGAGCACATTTTTTCGAAGGCCAGGGAACAGGCCCAAGACAGTTTCTTGTTTGTGTTTCCACACGACTTTGAGTTGAGACCTAGCCCCGAGGCCTACATGTGCTTAGTCCACGGCAAGGTGGAGAACCGAACCCAGCACATCAAGGCTAGGTTTGCAGAACTTGGAACATCAGGCCATCAGGTCATGGTGAAGTACGATGCCATCAATGACCCCTTCTATGAGAGACACAAATCGGGCTGGTGGCAGAAACGCGAGCAGCGGGTGGCTGACACCTTCCTCAAGCCCCTGGCATATTACAAAAAGAAAGATGATGGGTCGGAGTACACGCTCGTCTACGTGAACATCCTGAGTGGAATCACCCACCAAGTTCGTATCACTATGCAAAGCATTGGTCACCCACTGGTCAGCGATGACCGCTATTTGCCCCGCGAGCAGGCTATGGCGGACTGCCAGTGGTGTCCTCGCAACTTTCTTTGTGAAGTTCGCTCTGACTGGTTTGACATGTGTGGTCCCTACCAAGACTCAAAGCGGCGCAGATACGCGCGCATATCTATAGAGAATCCCTTGCCGAAGCTTTTCCAAGACCTTCTCGAGCAGAAGCTCCACTTGGTTCAGAAGCTCGACCCTCATGCAGATTTGTACCAAGGATGCCAGTATTGGGCACTTGGAGATGAGCAGCTCATGATAGACCACCCCAAGGATACAGAGTATCAAAAGAAAGTCATGAGATGGGGGATACGCCGTGGGATACACCTGGATGCTATGGATCGGTTGCTGCTTCTGAAGCGTGAAGAAATTGATCGTGTTATGGCAGAGTACCGCTCTCCCGATGACGAGGATGGCGTTTTTTGGGTGTGCCCGGTGTGCATGAGCTTCAACCACCCCACACAATACGGGGACGGGACCACATGCAAAGGCTTTCTAGGCAATAAGTGCGCCTCGACGAAGAAGGTGTCAAAATCGGAAAATGTAGTGGTGCCGGAAGGATGGAGGGATTACCTGGCAGATCCTACACTTCATCTCCTGGCCGTCGTGAACCCCTTGTTGTTGAGTGCCAGAAAAGAGGCCATTTCGAGGTCCCGGCCCAATTGGGATCGACCTCCTGGTGAGGAGGAGGGCGAGCAGGCAACACCAGACCAGATCGAATCTCTCCACAAGGCGCTGCTTGTCTTGCACACAGCGTCAGCATTTTGAAGGCCAGGGCTGCACCCAGCAGAGAGGGGTGATTATTCCCGCTTCTCTTCCAGGTTCCGCCCAGCCTTGTTGTGTGGTACCGCATTCCTTTGCGCAAGCCCAGGCTTGTGAAGGATGCGGAGAAGGGGGGCTTTGGCTTCCACCAGGATGAGCTCCACAAGATCGGGGGCCTTGAGACGGCGCAGATGCCGCTGAGGCTGCCGCAGGACTGCGAGGTGCGCCGGGTGCGGCTGCCGGGCCGAGGGATGCACTCCCGCTGGAACTACACCTTGTCGGGCAAGGAGCGGTTGAAGGCGCGCAGAAACCGGAGTCGGGTAGGTGGGAAGATGAATGGATAAGCAGATAGACAAATTGACTCAACTGAAGGAATCCACGTGCACGCCAATGAGAAGTGATACATGCAAATCAGAGGCAAGCGCGCGTGCAATTTTTATTCATGGCAACCCCTAAGGCCCATGGCCGAGGTTCACCAGGCATTGACATACGGCAAGCCAATCAGTGTTGCATTTAGACTCTCACTTCGCATTCTAGATGTGGTGCCTTTGGCGCAGTCAAACAACCCTGCAAACTAGACCGCAGGTTGCTGTCAAGGTGCAGTTTACAAAGTTGTTTGGAGCCGATTTGCACGCAAACGCTGCGCTTGCAGCCGAACAGCAACATAAGCTTTGGAAGATTGCCAGCCAGGATGCGTTTGGGAAGGTTGAGTTTTGCCTGTTAGCAGCTTGGGATTGGCAGATACGTCATATTGTCGGAAGGTCATAGTCCAGAGCCCGGAGCTCCAGACACACACACACAGGCTGATCAAAGAAAGTCGGACCCACCCCACATGCGTGCTGTATTAGCTCAGTTGAAGTCTTTCCTGGAGCTGCGGCGATGTGAAGGGAAAAGTAAGGCTGGTTTTGCTTTCTGGGTCCAAGTTTGATGCGGACAGGCACCTACACATTTGAGGAATGCCCACTGGCTTGTTTAGTTTTTGACCAGTACTTGTCAGGTTTCGGCGCTTGGAGGCATGATGCGCTTAAGCTGGATCAGACGATTTGTTGCGCTGTTTTTCCCCCGCAGTGTGCCTACTCGAAGACGTTCCCGCGGAAGACTAGGGATCGTATTGAACCTTATTATATAGGCATCAAACATGAACTTATTAAACACTTATTAAACATCAAACACT